ACACCGAGTGCTCACACCACACCACTGCCTGTCCGTGAATCCCTCCTCCATCCTAGAGTTAAGCCCTTTTCCCATTCCTTCCCCTCTTTCCACCTCTCTTTCCTTTTTTCTTTGCTTGTTCCCTTCCCACTCCTGTCCCCTAGGCCTTTTCTGTGGCTTCAGAGCCATTGCGGTGTTATTATTTCTGTGTCTTGCATCCTTAAGGAGCTTACTCAGAACTGAAAATGAGGATATTTAATAATTTGGAAAAAATTCAGGGAAGGTGTGATCAAAGTGTTTTTGACCATTTTTTTTTTTCTTTTTGATTAATTGGTCACCTTTTTTGTCTTCTTTTTATCAAGAGGAAGTGCATCTTGGGGATGATGAAATGATGAATATATATTTTTTGTATTTTTATTTCATTTTTACTTTTTTTTTTATAACTTGGTGATAAATTGATTTGGCTGAAGTAAGTAAAGTCTGATGTAATATTTGTTATGTCAGATATGGATAAGAAAGATCAAGTTAACAGGATTGGATTGAGAGACGTGATCCCATTGTAGAGTACAGTATTTCCTCTTTAGATTCTTAAGTAACTGTTCTTTGTGTGCTGTTTGTGAATCATGACATGGAAAAGGAATGGCGGCATTGGTTTTGTTACTGTTGTGGTTTTAGAAAGTGGAAAAGAAAGGCATGATTTTTTCTTCCTGAAGAAAGAATGATGAAATGAACTAATTGTTAAATATACAATGTATATAGAGATGTGGGAATCAAGATAAAATAAAGAAAAATAAGATACAAAAGCAAAAAACATAAACAAAAAACAGAAGTGAGACAAAAGTGTACATAGAATGACAACAGACAGATTAAGAAGGCAAAAAATATAATAATTATAACAAAGATAAAAAAAAAAAAGCTGTGAGTGAGGAGAGTGAGAGTGCTGCCTCTTGTATCCTATGGTGCGTCCCGTGGTTATGGGAAAAAGAAGAATTCCAAAGAGCTTCAAAACTTTCTGTGTAGGTGGTGCTTTGTGGTTGAGGTACACGCTTGTGTGCGACTGCATTTTTTTTTTTTTTTTCTTTTTCTTTTTTCTTTTTTAGTGGTTAGGTTAGTTTGCTGCTACACCTCATACCTGGCACAAGCCCACCCTTTGCCTCCCTGTCTTCTCCCTTGGCCCCCCACATTGGTTTCCTTAGTCCCTCACTTCCCTTTACACCTTCCTTCATAGACCCTCCCAATCCTTCTTCCTCTCTATTCCCCCCACCCCCCTCCACCGTTCCGGCCACACTTTCCTTTACTTGTGTTGTGTGTGCATCTCTTTCATATGTCCCTGCAGCATGGGTATCATGTTGATGATCAGTAGTTAAGTCATTAACAATTGCAATGATGATGAATTTATTTTTTATATTTCTAGGTAGTTTGTAGTTGTTCACTTTATTATTATTATTACTGTCATAGATGTTCTTTCTACTTTGATTATTGTTATTCTTAGATGATTTTAGTAGACATCAGAATGGTTCTTATGGTCTAGATCATTATCGCAATTGTTTTCCTTTTGTTGTCATTATTGTCATGCAATCGTTTTTGGAGATATAACTGATGATAGTGTTGATCAATGGATTTAGCTAACAGGCTTCAGGTGTCATTCATTGAAACAATATTGATGCAGTTAGACCTGTCTCTTACTGACTCATTTTGTTACCCTTCACAAAGATAATTTTCAATTTCTAAATACCAGAATTTCTCTCTGATATTTTTTCTTTTCTGTTAGAGGGAAAGTCTTGTTGCTTTTTGTTTTGCTGCATCAGATGATGATTTCCAATGCTGCTAATCCTTTGTTCCCTGCAACTCAGAGCTTTCATCAGTTTTTTATTTTTATTTTAATGATTTCTTTTAATTAGTGTTTGTTTAGTATTTGTCGGCATTTTAGGTGTGATAGCAAGAATGTCATGGTTTGCTTTATGAATTATTTCTTTTAATTATTGACCAATTGATTTATTTGTTGTCACAATTTTTTTGTCTTAATTTTTTTTCTTTTGTACTAGAGTTTAGAATGTTAACAGGGGTGATGCTTGCCAATCTCTATATTTTTTTATTGCTTTGCATTCTTGTTTTATTGCTGTTATATTTTGTTGTATCTAGTTATGTGAAACATTTTACTATTTGTGATTTATTTTTGTGTTTTTATATCATAAGGTTTGATATTTATGATTATTAGAATAATGATGATGGTGATGACTACAATAATTATTTAATTATTTAAGTTAATCATCATCATCATCATTTTTACATTATTATTCTCAGATATGATTATTTATATTCATAGTAAAATTATTAGGATAGATTTAGAAAAACTGTGGTGGTGGTGGTGATGATAATTGTAAAAGATATCAGAAATTATTATTTTATAAGCATAATTATTGTCATTGCTGTTTTTTGTCAATATGTTAATGTATTATTGTATGAATTTATGTGTATATTACTGCCATCATGTAATTCGGGCTATGTTATGTTGGCATTG